TTTCTAGCCAAAGAATGGCCATTTGACAGGTTATTGTCCATCATTTTTGATGACCAGAGATGTCAGTTTGTCGTTTGTCTTTGAGAAATAGGTTTAGCCAGTTCCCAGACTGCCAAGGGAAGGTTGAGCTCTGTGGCAATACCATAGCATACCATCTCATATCATTCTTACTTCTGCACTGATTTCTCTGGTGATGGCTCTGACTTCAGAGCTGGGCTCCAAGCCAGAACCACTTCTCTCCAGCAGCCCAAATCTGAAGGTAGCACCACTGCCAGCAGCAGCACAGAAATAAGTACCACAACCCCGTCTCCAGTGACCTTGCATCCAGAGCTCCTTTATGGGTCAGGAACCCTAAAATTACAACACCATAACATTTGAGATTTAAATAACTGAAATCATGAAATTTACCATTTTTAATCTCCCATGCCCATGAAATAGACTGAAGTGGATTGTGAATTTGGTAGAGTCCTAATTACAGGTTATCATCTTCCATACAAAACAGGATTCTCCTTCTGATCTGGGTAGGATCACTTCTGCAGGCTTTTGCATTAATGTCCCATGTACTACATAACCAAAATTTTCTCTAAGGGCACATCTACACAGCAGGGCCAAAGTCAAATTAAGCTACCCAATTTCAGCTACGTCACTTGCGTAGCTGAAGTTGAAATAGCTTAATTCGGCTTTTGTCACTGTCTACACAGCAGAAAGTCAATGGAAGAACACTCTTCCTTTGACTTCCCTTACTCCGTGTGAAATGAAGGTTACAGGAGTCAGAGTAAGAAGTCCTCCAGCTTGCCATTATTTTGAAATGCTCTAATGCTGCTGTGTAGACATACCTAAAGTGTATATCTCAAGTGCTGCAGCAAATTATAGATGTCTATCTGGTATTCTGATTACATTAACAAGTCACTTTTATAACTGCAAGCAAAGTTTATTCTGAAGTTATAAAGGTCCCACTAGTAAGACTGCAACTAGCTGACATAACATATAACCATGACCTATTTTATAGTCCTCTTCGAAGACTATTCATCAGCAGAGCATAGCTTGGGCAGTGGCCACGTAATTTACGCAGTTCAAGCTTTTAAAATGGCTACATTAAAAATTTTATATGTGGCCATGATTTTAATTTATCATCCTGTCCTGCTATTTTCTCAGATGTATTGTGGTCTGAATATTGTTGACAGAATTACAATGTTTAATTATACCACCAGACTTTATTTATGGCCAAAGCTTTAAATAAAGTAATATTTTCCAAAGTTCTGATCTGAAACTGAATTTGACTTGTCTGTGTAAGAAATATATTTTATTTATCATGCACTGGCAAGCACTGTTCTGTCTCCTGAGAGATTAATATTGTAAGCAACTTATGCAGGTGATTCAAATTGAGTTAATCTCACATAAAGAGTGTTATTTGCATTGCCAATGGCATTCACTCTGATCACTCTATAGCTGTATAATTAGCTATTGGACATGTTCAGAGGCCTGTATGAGTGATACTAAAAGAAGAAAACAACATAAGAGGTAACTTTGTTTTTTCCTCATTCATACTATGCAAAATCCAGAGATGATAGCAAAATGGAAATAACGGTTGTAATTTGCATGTCCTTGATAACTGCAATGTGTACTTAGGCAGTTATTTATTTTCCAACAAGTTCTTAGCTGTTGTGGGAAATATGCCTTTTTGAGATACTGCTATAGGTGCGGTAATGGGGTCACTCGCTGCTACAGCGCATCCTGCTGGTCAGTTCAGGAATCAGCTGTTTTCTCAGCAAGGTGCTCTTTGTGGGTGGTGCATTCCCCATCATCACTTTTCTCTCCTGTCTCCACCATTTCTCTCTGGATCCACGTTGCTCTCTGGACTGCAGTGTCCTCTTCAGCATGCTGCCCTCCAGCAGTGTCTTCTACTTTGGTCTCTCCCCCTTCCAAGGAGTGTCATCAGTCTTTAGTCTCACACTTGCTGCTGGGACCAACTGCAGCCCCTACATCTATCCATTGCCTCAGGGACAGGCTGAAATCTGTAATGGCCATGCTCTAGTGTGGCAAGGTGTGCTGCAAGTGAGATGGTGGGAACCCAAGCCTGCCCACTACTCTTAAGTCCCATCCCCAGGACCCTATGGAAGCAGCCATGTTCTCCTTCCCTCTGACATTCCCTGTAACCCTTGCACCTTAACTCTCCTTCCTGTGACCCTTGCACCTTCTTGGTTGTTTTTTATCAGGGGCAACAGCCTGGCATGTATCAGGTGGAAGCTTCTCTCCAGCTCCCCTGTCCAGCTCCCTGTTTCTAAAATGGACATAATACACTCTCATCTCATCAGGTGCTGGAAAAAAATAAGTTAATTATATTTTTATCAAGCACTCAGGTACCGTAGTGTTTAGTGCCAAAGAAAAGCCCATGAATTCAATAACTAATGAATTAAGATGATAGTAAGTTATGAATTGTGTGCAATAAATAAGTCTTGAGGCCCCATATTAAACAATGAAAATACAACAAAGCATTGAATAGCTGTTCGTTTAGTTAATATTGTCCATTCTGTGCACTGTGGAAAAATAGCATGCGACCACATAATTAAAAACTGTCCCCTAAAGCATATGAAGAAGGGAGCTGAATTAAGGTTGCGTGGGCGAACCTAATTCTGGGGAGTTTGATCTGGCAACTTTATTAATTTTTTTAATGCATTTTAATGGAATTATACATGTATTCCAAAGCTTCAAAGCTGTCTGTGTTTATGTGTAATGTAGTCAACCTGAGAAATTCTATGCTATAGGAACTCAGGAAGCTGAACTCTATGAGTCAGATTCTGATTTTATTTATGGTGTAAATCTGGATTAATTTAATGTCATAGCTCAGTTGAGATTGAAATGTCAGATGCAGTGTGTGACAAGTACCTTTATTTATAAATCTCTTTCTTTAGTGTAAATATGTATATATATAATTTACAACACTAAAAGTGTGTGTTGGGGAGGGGAAGGAGGGGAATGCTGGAACCAAATTTGGATGAAGCACTAGGTAACTTGGAGATAAAAATCAGTGATATGTCTTGAAATGAAATTATCTGGATTTGTCCCAGTGTGACTGAGGTCAGATTTTGGCAGTGTGTCTAGATTTGAAAAAGGCATTGATATGATATTTTTTAATCAGTACATGCTAAAAAAACAAAGCTTATTACTCAGGGCATCATTTAGTTTCTTATAGTGGAGTTAGTCATGGAGATCTAGATGCACTGAAGGGTATTTTCACTTTCCCCCAAAACATAAAGAATTGATTATCATGAAAGGCAGAATACTGCAGTAAATAGCCTATTAGTCTTATATTGCTTGGCAAGTCATATATTCTTATGGCTAAACTGTAGGTTTCAAAACACACCATGTATGTGGAATGGCGTGAAGCAAAGATGAGTACTCAGACAGACACTAGGGAAAAACAACATAAAAGATAAAAGATTTAGAAAACCTGATTTATGAGGAAAGATTAAGAAAAACTGGACTTGTGTAATCTTGAGATAAGAAGACTGAGGGGGGAAGGGGTTAGTAAGTCTTCAAACATGTTTAAGGGCTGTAATAAGAGGATCATGATCAGTTGTTCTTCATGTCCACTGAAGGTAGGACAAGAAGTAATGGTCTTAATCTTCAGCAGGGGAGATGTAGGTTAGAGATTAGTAAAAACTTTCCAGCTATAAGGACATTTAAGCACTGGAATAGCTCATCAGAAAAGGTGGTGGAATCACTGTCACTAGATGTTTTTAAGAACGAGTTAGATGAACACCTGTCAGAGATGGTGTAAAAGAGTTCTGTTAAGTTTTTATTCCAGAAGGTGAGATGTGCAGATCACTCCCACTTACCTACAGTTAGAAGCTTATGTTCAGGCTCCAGTTTCTTAGTTCTTGCAAGGGGGAGGGCGGGATCCTGCCTCTTAGTGGCCCTTTTCATGCCTCTTCTGATGACGGATTGAAAGGAAAATAAATGTGGCAATGCACCTGATAATAACTTCTTCCCAAAGCCAGTTCAGTGGGGGAAAGGACTTACATTACCTTGTTACTTAATAGCTGTAAGAGTAGCCATTTTCTAGGAGTTCTATGTGGGTAGCTGAATCAGGCTCACACTGCCAGGCTAACCCTAGGAGTTTAATGCATTCCCTGCATAGCTGGGCATTGTGATCTTGTGACTGGGAGTACTTGATTCGAGTACTTGCAGCTTCAGGTGACATTTCAGCGATCTCTCCCTCTGGCTCATTACAGTTTCCTCTCTACACCATACACAGAACATTTCCGGTGGCTTCCTCATCAGTGTTCGTTCTATACCCTATCAGGAATGGTCTAGGTTTATTTAGCCCTGCATCAGACCAGGGAGCTGGATTTGTTGACTTCTTGAGTTCCCTTTCAATCCTACATTTCTGGGATTCTATGAATCTTTGTCTGGGCTTCTCCTTGTACATGGTGGGGGTGGACGGAGGCAATCTATTCCAAGTATTACTGATCCTGGCACACTGGCCCCACTCTGTGGCATTAGGCAGAAAGGGAGGGTAGTGACCCCACTTTCCTGCCCCATTTTCTGATTCTCATTTCCCACAAACTGTCTGTATACTACTCAGAGTAGAGGGAATATGATTTCAACTGTGTGGCTATTGTGAAATTATGGAAATATGGGATTTTTTGCTTGCCCTCTTTGACTGGTGGCTCAGTGAAGCAAATAATCATAGACTTAGTATTTTGTAGCCTGATATTGCATATTTGGGACTAAAGCTGATGAAGTTAAAATATTTGTTCTCTTTGTTAAGCTACTTCATATGTGGAAGCTGATTATATGGTTTTGCTGCCCTTGTGGCATGCAGTTTTTATGTTTTATGCAGAATATGTTGTGCTAGCCACTGACTTTCCTTCTTTGTTCTTAACAATTGATAACATCTGTGTACATTATCATCAATCTCATCATTATCAATTCATCTATATTTATGCCACTTTAAAATCCAACTCACTGCATGCCATTTTAAAATCTCTTTCAAGAACGACCCACGTTTTTAAGGAGACCAATTAACCAAGTGGTTCTGGAGGAAGAGGCAGTAGAATTCCGATGTCAGGTCCAGGGGGATCCCCAGCCAACAGTCCGGTGGAAGAAGGATGATGTGGATTTGCCAAGAGGAAGGTAAGAGTGACCATTCTTATTCTCATTGTCAGCCTCTCTTCTCTGGTTAACCTTTATTCTCTAATGTAAAACCCTATTGATTAGATATAATAGCTAAGGATGTTTATTGCCTGTTTGTCATATTAGCATGTATCATAATCAGGAGTGCTGACCAGCACCTGGTGACTAAGGGGTTAACTATGTTTCCTGTACCTAGCCAGGTATCGGGTGGTTGGCCAATAACAGCAAAGGTAGGAATTTCAAACTGGAAAAGAAGAGTTTTTCTCTCTGTTTCTTTGTTTGAGATTTAGAGTGGTTTCTTCCAAGACTGAAGGAGATAGGAGGCCCATCTCTCTACAAGAATAGATTTCTTACAATGTGTAAGTAGGGCAAAGTTTAGATAGTCCATCAGGATTTTGTTGTTTTTCCTGGTTTGGGAATTTGGAACTGATGTCTGAGCTGGTTAAGTACTGTGCAGGGGGTCAGTCTAGATGATCATAATGGTCCCTTCTGACCTTAAAGTCTATAAGTGTTTGGTCTTTCTTTATAACTAAGTTTTCGCCCAGGGATTTTTTTCTGAGTACCGTATATCAATTGGCGGCCCTTTCCATCTAGCCACTTTACCATGCTTGCAACTGTAGTTATGTTTTGATAATAAAAGTTTGGGTTTTTTTTCTAATTAACCAGAATTGGTTGATTGGCTCGTCCTTGGACTCAGTGCCTAACTGCAAGGGCAGAGTCCATTATTGTCTGTCATTCCCTTCCTGATTTTCCCAACTCCAAGTAAAACAGAGGTTGGGATAGGGGAGAGTTTTACCTTAGGGAGGAGGTTTCCCAAGTGATCTCTTCCCTGGTTTTCTTGGAATTACTTGGGTGGTGGCAGTGGATTTCTCCAAAATCCGGGTATTAGGATTTGGGAAGGAAGTTTTTGTACCAAAGCCTGTAAAGACAAGGTTTTCAGGTTCTCTTGTGGGCCCCCACTTCTGCATTTGACATGCCAGAGTGGGGAACAGCGTTGACAGAATGTAACGTGCTCCTGAGCTGGTGGACTAAGGAAAACCATTTGAGGTACAATCACCCAAGTAAGAGTGTTTTGGAGAGGAGAGTGGTAGAGAGTTATTTTGTCAACTTGGCCATTCACTTCACTTGAAGAACATGTCTGATGAACCTTCACAAACAAGAGAGGTAAATACTTTAGAAAGCTGACAGTCCAGAGAATAATTTACAGATGCTCTAGAAGGAGCAAATTGACTACTTGGAAGCTGTAGTTCGAAAGCATAAAATAAGACAGACTGGAAGAGTTTGCTGGCTCTTCTCCAGTCTTATGCAATGGTTTGAGGCTGGAAACTAAGTCTTTCTTTTCTGAAATATTTTGGAAAGTAAACAACAAAATGCCAGAAATAGGGAAAAGAAAGTTAAGAGGGGCCAGTCATTAGTAACAGATGTCCTGGCAGGAGGAAACACAGAAGAAACACACACAAGAGAGTTAGTTCAAATTGAAAACATATATTTCCCCAGTGCAAGGGAAAAATAAGGCAACACCTTGAAAAGATAGTTATTAAATCATAGGTGAATGTTAATATACTAAATTTATATACTACAATTGGAGAGGACTGAGCAAATATGAAGGAAAATAACTCCAGCTGTGAGCACATTCAGTAAGGGTGCTCCCATTGAAATTAATTGCAGAGCTCCCATTGGTCTCATTGGAAGGGAAACCAGCAGAAGCAGCCATATTCAACAACCAAGCATTCCTCCTTACCTGATCAAGCACAAACAAAAAGCAGTGTTTATATTTCCAGCAAGGTAAAATGTTTGATCAGAAATTAGTTTTTTTATGACATGTTGTTGATATACAAGTAGAAATAATGTTAACGGTAGTTTGCATTCATCATCTAACCTTTTGTTCCTCTCCCACATAAACAATATACTGAGTCATACTCATATTGTCTTTTATCATTCTTAAAACATTGTGTATATGGACAGGTAAAGTGACATAAAAAGTAGCACAGAAACATTTAAATGTGTTTTATAAGCACATATCTAGTCAATAGAATAGTACTTTCTGCTGAAAAGGACCTTGATTTACTAAGTGTTTTGGTTTTTTTTGAAGTATTAATAATTACAGTTCTGTGTCTTGCTCCATTATGCCCCATATGAGTTTGTGTTTACAAAAGATGTTGTGAAAGGTAGCAAGAACATTTTGTCTGATAAACTGTACTTATCCCTTCACCCCACAACCGCGCGTTGGCACACTAAAGGCCTCTTAACACCCTCATGTGGTGATCAAAGTGACTATCAAAAGGGATTCTTATGATGCCTAAACTATGAGGTCAGGGTCTCATTTCCCTGTTTATATGCACATAAATGTGGTGGCTCAACAAGAATTAGCGGAGACATAATTTCTGAAACTGGCGGGAGCATGCTCAACTGTGCCTCCACTTCTGTTCTCCTTATGCTATTATAGTGACGCTACTATTTATACTTGCACTAGTTCTCTTCAAGTTACCATGTATACATGTACATGAGAAGAAGCAGAGCTCTAGTTCTTACTGTAGACTTAGCTTTTGTGAGTCTCAATTTCTGTGTGCTTAATTTACGGTAACTTACAGATGCCTGATTTTGAGAAAATGCTCAGCAACTGCCCTCTGAAAATCAGACTCCATTTAGACGTCTCAAATTGGTCATCCAACATCACCATACTAAAAGGGATCTATGTATCCACCATTGTCTCTTCCTGGATACATATTTAGTAATCCAAAGATTTTGCTGCTCTTGGTTTGAAGGGTATGACCAGTCTACTGTTCTTTCATTATCTACTTGACTCACAATTCACATGTAGAAACCTGCTCATCTTGTTGCTTTATCTGCTAAGTTTGATAAATATTTCACACTGACAAAGAACTTCTATTTTCTGGATTTTGAAATATTTAATATGTGGCATAATAGTAATAATAATAATAATAATAATTAATAATTAAAAATGCTGTTTTTCAAAAATGTGTTCACTGGAATTTGTTTCTGTCTACCTATAGTATTCAGCCTAGTGAAGTATCATGACATCAAAACTAATGTGATATAATAGATATTGAATTTGAATATATTGAAATGTATTTTAATCTAATATTGTAAATATCTATTATTTTAGGAACTGATCCTGAAAATGCTGTTGCCAGCTGTAGTGTTTTCTGTTGTGCACTGGTCACTGAAGCCAGTGGTAGCAACTCAAAGTGGCAACAATACTCTTAGGCTATGTCTAGACTACGGAGAAGATTAGAAAGAGGATATGCAAATTCAGTGGGAATTTGCATATCTTCTTCTGGCCTCAATTTCGAAAGTGAAAGTAGTTTAGATGCGGCTTTTTCAGCAAGACCTTATTTCCCCTCCCTTTGTCGAAAAGCCACGTAAACCTCATTTTTTTGAGGAAAAGCGGCTTTTTGACAAGGGGGGGAGTTTGCTGAAAAAGCCACCTCTAAACTACTTTCACTTGTGAAAGCTCCACTTTCAAAAGTGAGATCAGAAGAAGATATGCAAATTCCTGTGGAACTTTCATATCCTCTTTTGACTCTTCCCTGTAGTCTAGACAAGCCCTATGTAGTAATTGAAAGATTGGTCTTTTATTCTCCCCATTCCTCCAAAAATAACATCAATAGAACAGGACAAATAACCCTGTTGTTTACACATGTCACTTTGCAGTTTAAGATAAAGGAAGATTTTAGATGAGCTTTTGTTCCAAATGCAATAACAAGTGTATGTCTATCTAGTGTGAGAAGTACCATCAGTGAACCTTATGATTGGAATCTTTTTATCAAAATTGGGATTTTGTTGTTTGAGCAGACCAAGATACTGTTTTGGTTTTGCATTTTGTTTCATTATGCTTAGGAAATCTATTGTGTTCAAGTGTTTTTTTTAAACATTGTTATTACTGTAAAGCCAGTGACCCTTCGCTGCCCTAGCCAGGCTACCAGCCCTGCTGCCCTCATCCCCAGCTGGCCCTCCAGCCATTGGGCTCCTGGGATCTCTAGTCCAGGAGCATCCATGGTCCTGCCAGAACACCACTATTGCCAAACCAGAGAGTGCTGGTATTTGGAGGTGCAACCTGTAGTAAGATAACCATTGTGAGTCCTTATTTAGTTTTAATTTTAACACATGATTTTGTTTTCTTCCAGGTCACTGATAAAGCTAGTATATAATATACTGCAAAGATCCAATCTCTGAGTTACCCCATTAGAAAGATACCTACTCAACAATGATCCCTCGTTTAAAATTGCTTTGTGAGACCTACCAATGAGCCAGTTTTTAGTTTATTTGATTGACAGTAATTTAATTAATGCCAGTCTTTCTTTAGCTATTTTGGTTGAGTTTTTTGGTTTAGAAGCAGTCATTCCTCCCCCCCCCCACCCCCCCGACCCGACTCCCCGACACTTGCTAGCAATCTTATCAGGAAAGCTGAGGATTTGAAAGGCATGAAAGTTGTTCTCTCTAGAGAGAGAACTAGAGCATCCTTCCCTCCCCCCTCCTTGCTGACATAGCTTGACTGAAGTAAACAGATCCAGGATGATTTACACCTGCTGGAGATTTGACCCAAATTCTTTAGGTCAGGACTGAGATACATTGGTGAGACATTGCTAGCAATCTTATCAGGAAAGCTGAGGATTTGAAAGGCATGAAAGTTGTTCTCTCTAGAGAGAGAACTAGAGCATCCTTCCCTCCCCCCTCCTTGCTGACATAGCTTGACTGAAGTAAACAGATCCAGGATGATTTACACCTGCTGGAGATTTGACCCAAATTCTTTAGGTCAGGACTGAGATACATTGGTGAGACAGTACAGGGAAGACTTGATGTGGATACAGCTGCAAAATGAGGACAGACACATGTGTGAAATTAAGCAGCAAGTCACAACTTCAACTCACAGGAGGCTACCCGCCTACCACACCTACTCTTCTATAGCAGACATTTATTTGATTCTACAGGGGATGGGGGAGGTTGCAGAGCTTCTTACCATGTAACCCATAAAGCCAAGCAAGCTCTCCTCAGTCTACCCTCAAGAAGAGTCAGCTCTCTCTGACGCTTAGCACCCTCTACCCCACCCTCACACACAGAGACAGAGCATGTAGGATGGCTACAAGGTCTGATCCTAACACAGGAGCCCAAAGCTCATCCCAAAATCTCAGGATTTTTACTTCTGGGAACCATTAATTAGTGACTCTGGCAACTGGCACAAGTTGCAATGAACAAACAATTCCATCCCAGAACCTCAGTTATGTACTAAGTACCTTCTTATTTGGCCTTCTGTGTCATGAAGGTACTATGAGGAAGGCCCATAGGAGAAAAAAATTCCTTCCTGATCTCCTAAGCTGGTGAACAGCTAGATCTACAGCATCTGTCCAGCCAGATTCACATTTCTTGTTTGGGAGGGTAGGGGACATTGCTAGAATAGAGTCAAAAGAGATGCCACATTCCCCCCACCCTGGATTAAATCCTACAGGCGGGGATTGCTGGCCAATCAGCACCTTCCACTCCCCAGGTGGCCAGTGTATTCCAGAAGCTTCCAGGGGGAGGTGCTACCTATTGTCCCTTGACAAGCATCTCTTGCCCTTGCTGCTGGAACTGTTTCCCTTCACCACTAAACCCATCAATTTCTCTATTTATGTGGGTTTGTGGCATTTTTACTACCCCTTCCTGTGTTTTACATGTTCACTGAATAAGCAGATTACTTTAGTTTCTAGTCATTTCACTCTAGGACATTTTATGACCACTCAGCTTCTTTTAAGAGCTGGGTAAAGGGAGGAGACATCTACCATTTATATAAACAGAAGCTTAAAATGATGTCTTCATCATTCAAAGTGTACTTGGGACTCTACAACATTTTGAATTGGGTTTTATTTAAGCAGCAGAATTTGGAGCAATCTAAAAGAATAGCTTTTACTATATGTATTTGTTCAGTGTGGGCAAAGATATTTGTCTAGCTGTAAACCAAATGAATATCTGAAAGATGGGTAAGTGACAGCAAGACAGCTCTGTCAGTTGAAGTGAAGAGAACTTCTGAGTATTTTCTCTTTGACTGAATGGGAGATTTTTTTAAAAGAGAAAATGAAGCTAACTCACTACTTTTAAAGCACATCTGTTATAAGCACATTACATCTACACTTCAGTATAAAACCTCCAGAAAGTTTTCCCTTTGCATTTATTACATAAATAAAATCTCCTCTGAGCAGATGCTTCACCCATCTATTTGTCTTACAGCTTAGAGTGTCAATTTCCTATTTCCACAGCTGATGACATTCTTTGTGCAGCTGCCTAATGTTAGTGTATATTCTGTTTCTAAATAACATTTTCCTCTTTGTTTCATCCCAGGATTACGATGGCAGGATTATAGGAGGTGCCCACTATGGTACTAGTGTTAAAGGTTTACTAAAGGTGTAGCAATTCCAGCTTTCAAATTTTCTATTTCAATTATGCTAAAACATGAATTTTGCTATAGAGAGGGTTAGGCCCTGATTCTTCAATGAGGACCTAGTTCGAAGCAATTGTACAAGGTAATGTGCAAGATCAGGATATTAGCTTATAAGAATCTTAATTTTTTTTTCTCTCTCTCAATGTAAATTCTTCTTTAAACTTTGTTTATTGAGAAACCTAACAGTAGGAGAAACATAATCACATATTGTACTTAGGAGATATTAGTCAAATTATATAGCTATTTCAACACCAAACTTTGTATTCCATAGTAATTGAAAAATACTTCAGTTCCTCAGAAACCTTACTATTATAGATTTAATTATAAAGCTCCTTTTGTGAATAATGTG